ATATGTTGGCCCCTGAACCTCTAAAAAAAAAAGGCTTCAATCTTGAAGTAAATGTGGTTGCTCTTTCAGAGAAAAAGAACAATAGCAATAGGGGGGAAACCGAACCATTTATCTTTAATAATAAACTACAGCAGAGGAAAATGTTACCCAAAGGTCAAGAAAGACAATGCCAATCTACTGTAAAGTTCAGAGGTATAAACCACTTTACAAGATATTCTTACAATACAATGGGGTTTGTAAAAATACCCTTTAAGTTTTATTCAGCCATCTAACAGAATCCTTCCTTTCATAACTATAATTAGAGCCCAGGGAATAGCAACAATGCCTTTTATGATCAGAAAAATTCCAAAAGGCCACTGCTTTACCCACTTTGATAGAGAACAATCCACCACCGTTTCTCTCTGGAACGGTTTGTGTAATGAGGCAGTCTTCAGGCCGCAGTAAGGGAAGACCGTCACTGAGCGTATACCATCGCTGTAGGATGAAACGCTGTTATCACTCCAGGGTCTTCCTTCACTGCCTTTGGAAGGCAAAGCCTAAGAATTTGTGACATAAATTTTTAAGTTCTTGGAAATGGGCTGGAAAACTGTCAAGGTTCTTGGCTCCCAATAACTAATTTTCTCCCACTTAAGAACAGAAGAGGGGGGGGGCTGGGGTGGGCTCAGTTGGTAGAGTGCCTGCCTCACTTGCACAAAACCCTGCATTCAGTTTCCAGCACTGCACAATCCAGTATTGCCGTGACTACAGTCTAAGCATTTGGGAGGCAGAGGCAGGGAGATCAGAGGTTAAAGGCCATCTTTGGCAGCACAGTCAATTCTAGGCCAACGTGGGATACTTGAGATCATTCCAAACAGTGTACGTGTATGTGTGTATACACACACATATATTCAAAAAAGCATCAAATAGAGTTAATGGTACCAATAGCACGAAGCCATGGCAACTCTATTGCCCACATTATCTGCACCTAATTCCCACATTTACAGTCTTTACAATTTACAAGACTAGACTTTGTTTCTTTATTCCCAGGTCCTGATTTGTCTGTTCAGATGTGCTGGGTATTAAAGCCAGGAACTCATGCATAGTAGGCAAATGCTGTTTCTTTGTAAAATATAAAGTCCCAAACTCACATCTGAGAGTTGACATTATGAATATGAAAGTAAGTTGAATGCCATATTATAAAATAGTTCCTTCATTTCTAAATTGAAACATTTTATTACAGAGCAATTTGCTTTGCCTTTTTGTTGAAGTTTAAGATTCTACAGCAAGTTAGTAATATATATATGTGTGTGTATGTGTGGTGTGGGAGGTTCTTCTATGTGTTGCTTTTATTGGTTTATTAATAAATAATTGGTTAATAAATTTTATTGGTTAATTTGAGTCTATGGCAGGGAAAACTAGGCTGTATGCTGGGAGAAAGAAGGGCAGAGTGAGAGAGACACCATATAGCCCCGTCAAAGACAGACTCGGAACTTTAACCAGTAAGCCACAGCCACGTGGCCATACACAGATTAATAAAAATGGGTTAAATTAATATGTAAGAGCTAGCCAATAAGAAGCTAGAGCCCAGGGGGCAAGCAGTGATTTAATGAATAGCTTCTGTGTTATTTCAGGGCTAAGTGGCCGTGAACCAAGTGGCTGTCTTCTCCAACATGTGTGTACATCGATATATGTACATATTGGTACACATTAAGACAAACAAACATAGGTCAGGATCTCTGGGGGTTTGGTCCTGGGACATCTCCAAGAACACCAAATTCCGAGGACACTCAGGTCCAGCATATAAAATTGTCTATTTTGCATGAATGGTATTCAGCACTCTCCTGCGTACTTCACATTATTTCTAAATGATTTATAACTAATACAATATGCACAGTGTTCAAATAGCTCTATACTGTATTGTTCAGGGGAAAATAAGTGTCTTGTCCAATTCAGAAGGAAGGTAATTTTTTCTTTGAATATTTTTGATGCATGGGTGGTTGAATTTGAGGCTATGACACCTGTGGGAACAGGTATAAGTATGTATGATTTATATATGTCCCCTATGTAGGCCACTCTTAAGCATTAAGAAACATTATGAAAGCCCACAGGTCACTACTTTTTTTCTCCCTTCATTGTCTGCTAAAGTCAAATGTTTAAGTGACACAAACACAAACAGAAATAGATGAGGCCTAGCATTGTCTCATTCCAACTGGTCTCAGCCCTGTTCACAATTAACTTAGAAGGTGGCAGAAGACTCAAGAGTAGCTGTTTAGAGACTCACAACAAATAGTTCCAAAGGATAAAAATGGTGGCTGGGGCCTTTCCACTTTTTCTGTTTTGGAAGAAAAGCCAAAGTCCTTCGTTTTTAGGGTCCACACAATGTGCCTTCTTACCATCTATCGCCCTCCCTTGGTGCTTCATTCCAGACCTGGGTGTTTCAAATATATAGACAGGCTGTACAGATGCTGCCTCACGATACTGTAGCCACTAAACCTGCCTATAATACTCTTACCCACATGCGCGGGCTAAGAAACCTTCATTTCGAAGCCTCTCTTCCAAAGTTACTTTTCATTCCATGACATTTTAGATCTCTATTTTCATTCCTTGCTGCTTCTAAAACCTACATATTTTGTCTGTCCCTTCCCCCCAAACACACACACACACTACAAAGCTACAACAGCAGCTCTTGTCCGTTCACTGTCGTGTTCCGGCACACAAGCGTCTGACATAGTTGGTATTGGTACTCAGCAGTGAAAGTCAGGTGATTATAGCTGTCTAACAAACTGCCTCCAAAACTAGTAGTTAAAATGAAGAAGCACCATTTTTATTGTCCTTCATAGTGTGGGGGGTTGTGCTGAGCTCAGCTAGCTGGTTCCTGCTTAGGGTCCCTACTGCAGTTATAGTGTGAGGATTGATAGGGAATCAATGAAGCCTTGCTCTACCACATGCCTGGTACCTAAGTCTGGAAGACTCAAAACCTGGACGAAGAGAAAGCAAGGATGTTAGCAGTTTGTCTGTCTTTCAGTATGAGTTCATGAGGTCTCTCCTCTATGGAGGTTTTAAGGTAGCCTGACTTATGTGTCTAGGGCACCACAAAACAAATGTGCCAAGACATGTGGCCGGGATGGTATGCTTAGCACACAGGCTTGAAGAGGAGTTCAGATTCCCCAGGATCCAACCAAGCCAGGAGCCCTAATGCTCAACCATAATCCCAACACCAGGGAGGCAAAACACAGGTGGATCCCTGAGGCTTCCTAAGCAGCCAGTCTAGCCAATGAGCTGCAGGTTCAGTGGGACTGTCTCAAAGAGAGGACACTTGAGGAAATTCTATCATCTTTTAGTGTCCTGGCCTTGAAAACATTACTACTCTGCATGGCCCCAATTAGTCAAAGCAGTCACAAAGGCTCATCTGTGTTCACACATGCTAGCCAGGTGCTCTTACTGCCGAACCATATGCTGGTCCCCGTCTTTAATGAGAGACAGAAACGTTATTAGAAAGGATGTGGAATAGAAATATTGTTTTGAGTTTTAGAAAATTCAATCTGCTACACTCCAAACAAGGTATTTCTAAGGCCAAATATCAATGTCCCAGCAGAGAAGAAATGTGTACTTAAGAGTGGTCTTCATAGGCAAGCCTAGGGAAACACTGTTAGCCGCAGCAGACTGATCCAAGTACACCAAAGTATGAGAAAAAATAAAGGTCTAATCACAAAGCAGCAGGAACAGTCAAAGGAGTTACCATCAAGGAGAGACTGCCATCAAGTCTTAGAAATTGGAATTCTAGTGGCTGGGGATGGTATACTTAGCACACAAGCTTGAGTTTAAATCCCCCGGATCAAATGAAAAGCCAGGAGTGTTATAGCTTAACTGTAATCCCAACACTGGGGATGCGAAAAACAGGATCCCCGAAGCTTCCTGAGCCTCGCAATGAATGAGCTGCAGGTTCAGTGCGACTCTCTGAGTTTGAGGAAAGACACCTGAAAGGGAAATTGGCCTTCACATGCATTCATAGACATGTACACATTCAGGTACTTGCCCGCACACCCGAGTCCCAGTTGAAGTATTTACCATCTAGCATACCTACCTCCACTGGCAAACATAACCAGTGCTAGAGATTTCTGAAGGAAAACAAAAAAAAGGCTGAGCTGTTTATTCATCATGGCTTTCTCTTTCCCTCCTTAAATAGGTCTCTCAACTGTAATACTGAAAAGAGTTACACGAGACTTCCCAACATCAATTACATGAACAGATTTGCAGGCCAAGCCTGGATGGAAGATACCCACAAACTATTCAAATAGCACAGTACTTTCTAATGCTTTTGTGTATTTTCTGTAATACTAGACTGAGCTTTTAGTTTATTGACTCCTTATTTTCCATTAGATAGTGTAAGTGTATAAAAGAACTCAATCCAAACTCATTGTAGATCTTAAGAACTTTTCTTCTTCCCAGTTAAGTTAGCAATCTTTTTCAAAGAAGGTGTTTTGCAGCTCACCTATAGCTGGAAGCCATCAACTCTCAACTGGCTAATAGTCCCACCTTTTCAGTCTCCTCTTTTTATTTTACATTTGTTTGGAAGTAGAAGCAGGCTGTCACACGTATTTAGGTCAGAGGACACCATTTTGCAGAGTCAGTTATCTCCTGCTATGTGAGTTCTGGGAATAGAATTCAGGCTATCAGGGTTAGTGGCAAACGCCCTTACCCCAAGCCATCTCTGGTCCTTTAATGTTAATTTTTGTGTGTGCGTATATGCACACACGTCATGGTGCAACTGGGAATTGAACTCAGGTTGCCAGGTTTGCATGGCAAGCGTCTTCATCCACTGAGCCATCTCACCTGCCTTCTTCTCCTTTCATGAATTCATAAGAAAACATTCCTCCATTTTCTAACCCAAAATGTTTCCCATTCCAGCTTCGGTCAATACTGGGGTAGTGTAAAGGCATGATTTCTGACTACTGTATGCAGCTTTGTTGTATCCTTCTTGTCATTCTGTCAGCCAAATTAATCATTTTCTTTGTCTTTAGCCCTTGGACTGTCACAGGACGTTGCGGGTGCAACTTTCATGGCAGCAGGTAGCTCTGCCCCTGAACTAGTTACTGCGTTCTTGGGTAAATATTCCTTTGACGTGCTGCTTATTTGGTGTGATTTTAGTTTCTTCAAATCAGCTTTAACTGAGCTCCTAATACCTGCTCCTAGGTGTTTTTATCACAAAGGGAGACATTGGTATCAGCACCATTCTTGGATCTGCAATTTACAATCTGCTTGGCATCTGTGCTGCCTGTGGCTTGCTATCCAACATGGTAAGAAATCTATCCAGTAAGATGCATTGTCTTGAGAGATTCTAAAATTAAACTGCCTGGATGAATATAGCACTGGAAATGTATTCAATCAAAATAATAACCAGTAGAAAAACATTTATTCAATTTATTTAACCCACAAATACCTTTTATTAATCAAATTTATAAAGTCAGTACAGGTTTAGAACAATTTTTAATTTTTTCTCTATATAATATGTAAAACATAACAATATTTTCCCACAAATATACAAGCATTGTTACTATACTAAGCACTGTTCTTGAATGACTTACGCTGTAATGCAGACAATCAAACCACCGTTTTCCAGGTTTCAACACTCTCATGTTGGCCCCTGTTCCGAGACAGTGCAGTGTATGCAGTCAGCGTTGGAGCAGTTTTCGGCATAATATTTGACAACCGAGTTTACTGGTAAGCTTCAAGTAACTCACTCTGATGTAAAACATAATTACAGAGAGAATGCTTAAAGCCTGATGGCTTAGTAGGATAGTTTTTCAAAAATGTTACTTCAACTCACTTCTCACTTCAGCAGCTACTCCAGTTATGTCCTCCCCGTCATCAGCCGGCTTCCCTCTCCTCTCTTAACATAGCCTCCCTGCTCACAAATTTGCTTGCTGTCACTTACAGCTGCACTGCTGGTGTTCTCTTACACTACATTGTTGCTTGCCTGGCCTTGAAGTGCTCAGAGCCATAAAAGCTTGCAGAACAAGTAGTAGCCCCTTCATTCCTACAATTTCTCCTATCCTCCCAGAACAGAAGAACTGCGCAGCCTTGGCTAACAACCAAGAATGTTACATGCCATTACTAAAAAACTGTTGCTTTCCAAAAATCTCTCCACACCCAGCTGGCCCAAGAAAATGAAAAGAGCAAGTGACTCAGTGAGCAAACAAACTTCCCAAATAGGCCCAAGCATCTCCTAGGCCCAATGGTCAACCTTCCTAACGCTGCAACCCCATAACATAGTTCATGTTGTGGTGATCCTCAACCATAAAATTATTTTATTACTTTGTAACTGTGATTTTGCTACTGTTATGAATCATAATGTAAATACCTAAGCAGGTTGTCTTAGGAGACCCCTGTGATAGGGTTATTCGACACCAAAAGGTATAGACCCATTGTCCTAGGTGCTTATCACTATGTTGGGCACCACAAAATAAATATAACACACATGGCCACACGTGTATGTGTCCAGAGGGTATCCAAACAGGGAGAAAATCAAGATAAATAAAAAGCCAGGCTGCTAGTACAGCACAGACCCTGGGATTCAGCTGTAATCTATAAGCGACAGGGCCCATGAAAATATCCAAGTACATAAACATTCTTTTATTAGGGAAATCAGAAACTATTTTTTTTTAGCTGCAGCAGAAAAGTGATTCATTGGAAATGAAATAAAAATATTCAAATGTGATGAAATTATAGTAAAGTGAGAAACCAAGTCATAGACAATTCTTGGTGCCTTATTCAAAATTTCATTTTTTGAAAACATCTTTGATTTCTTGTGATATAAGCCAAATTCAGCTTTGAAAAAAAAAAATCACCAAAAGGGATCAGAATAGTAGCGCAGAGCTGAAATCCCAAAACAAGGAGAAGAGGTAGGACTGTGAATTTGAGTAGTTGAGTCCAGTCAAAGGCATAGTGTTCAAGACCAAGCTATACAGTGAAACCCTGTCTCAAAGGCTAACAATTCCCCACCTCTAACTTTCTTCTAAACATCGCTAGAGAAAAGTTCCATCTAAAATCTAACATATTTTGAATATTTCACACAAAATTACTACATACTAAAATATAACAGTGTATTCTTTTCTAATTATTAAATATCTGGGGAAGGTATTAAGTATGCCAATGGAAAAATGTTGGAAAATATCCATAAATTTAGTTTTAGTCTGAAAAATCTCTATTTTCAAAAGCATTTTTTTAAAACAGGAATCTGTAACGAATCTTATAATCCTCTTTTTTTAAAAAGAAAGTGTCAGGCTTTTAACAATGAGTTTGTATAAACAAGGCTAGGCAAATAAAAGTGTTTCAGAATGGTTCCTTGATTTTTCGAATCCTGTTTTTGTTAGAAAATACTGTTTAAAATTATTCTAGATTGGTTTCAATCACACACTAAGTTCTCATTTATAGGTACGAAGGAGCACTGCTGCTGCTGATTTACGGGCTCTATGTTTTGCTGCTGTGTTTTGACACTAAGATCAGCCGATGTGTCATGAAGAAATGCAGTCCTTGCTGTCCCTGCCTTGCCAGAACTATGGAGAGAAGTGAACAACAGACACTGCTGGGATGGGAAGACGAGAGCCAATTCTTCACTCGTCGCCAATCAAGGACAGACAGTGGAATATTTCAGGAAGATTCTGGTTACTCCCAACTTTCTCTAAGTTTACATGGTCTTAGTCATGCTTCTGAAGGTAACGACAACATCCGGCCCATCCAGCCACTAGAAAAAGTTCTCATTTCAAGTTAGTAATTAGCACATGCTTATGAAACACACTTTGGAGTCAAAGATAATGAAGTGTAAATCCTGGCCTTTTAAGAGCTCCCAATAAGCATTTTTACAATCAGCTAAAAGTGTCGGGGAAGGGGAATACACATAGATGTGGAGGACAGAAGTCAGGACAGTACTGGATGCTGCACCTCCATCCTTCTCTACCTCATAGAGACCAGTCTTCCACTGAGCTTGGAGCTCACTCATTAGGCTAGACCAGCTGCCACCGAGCTCTAGAAATCTGTCTGTCTCTGCCGTCAGAGCACTGGGATTACACAGATGGGCTGTCATGCTTTTCACACGGGTGATGGGAAGCTGAATTCCATATGCCTATGCCCCAAACACTTTACCTACTGAGTCACCTCCCCAGATCCAAAAATCAGCTAAAATTTCAAAGTTTAAGTACCATAAAAAATAAACTGTTCCTACTATGGTTCATACACTAGGCAGTGAATAAACTTAGATAACACATGGAGAAAAGAGCATTTGAACTAGGTCTTGTGGATAGAAATGGTTTTAACTCAAGAATCTGATATTGTAGTCAGGAAGCAACAATTGGCACCTTTACTGCCCAGATGATCCAGGGATGTGAGCACGCTCTATGGAATGAGGTCAGTGGACACTTTGAAAGACTTGCTTGCACGTGGGCATAGACAGAGCTAAGGCAACACTTGCACAATGAGGAAGCACAGGAACAGGTTGAGAGGAGGGAAGCACAGCAAGGCAGGTTATGAGGAGGGAAGTCACAGAGCTGCACACAGTGTTCAAAGGGGACTGAACTGAAATGATAGGACATGGACCACACAGAGAAGGCAGTGGGGACAAAGCAAACCCAGGCAAGACCATGGAAAAGCATCACCCAACATCAGCAGCAAGAAGGAGGACCAGGCAGAACCAGAAGACCTAAGGCTAGGGCGTGCATCTTCACTGAGAGAAATGAGACCATCTCTGTAACAACTGGCAGCTGAGGAAAAGGGAATGGTTGGGATGAACAGAAAGAAAAACAGCAGGTGAGACTGAAATGTGTGGAGCGGAAGTTAAACATGAGCTTGGTATGTTCACTATGACAATGACATCCTGACCAGAAAACTTTATAAAAGCAATTCCAATTTCAGTTCAGTGATTAGGAAGGATGCTTCTAGTTTATCACTTTAAAAAAAAATGACACATGGCTTTTTTCATCCTTACAAAATATACTTTGCAATCTTTAAGGAAGAAGAGATTTATAACAACAACAAAACCTGAAAAGCACCAAACTATTCATGCTACAATTATATCTAAATTCATGGTGCACTGTTTGTGTGATTTGATCCAGTTTTTGCATGAGCCCTATATAAATTAGTCCACAGCCTGGTCCCACTTTTATCCATTCTTTTCATCCTGTCCCCTGAGCACACACTCTGGAGCTATCCCAGGAGACTACTAGGCCCAGCTTTCTCTAGATTCCTTCTAGCAACTGTGAAGCATGAATTTAGTAAATGATAAGATACAATGAGAAATAGAGGGAACATTCCCTAAGCATGTATTAATATACAAAAAACCATAAGCCCCATCAATTTTAGAAAAGGGAGGGGTGAAACAGCTGGGGGCAGGTTAATCCTAACAATGCACCTAGCAGTGAAGCAAGAGTCTTAACTCTTACTCTGTAAACAATGTCACAGAACATTCAGCAAACAGTTCAAGACATAAGTCAAGCCTTCAGTGAAGAAGTTGAACATCACAGCTAATGTTGTCTGCGTAGTTTCAGTTAAGCTTCTTTTGACCAGCAGTAACAGTAATGAAGTATTCAAACGTTCTAGGATCCATGGTTCTAACCTTCCTAATGTTGCAACCCCTTAATACAGTTCCTCACTGTTGTGGTGACCCCTAAACATTTTATTGCTACTTCATAGCTTTAACTTTGCTACTATTATGAATCATAACATAAATGTGCTTTCCAATGGTCCTAGGCAAACCCTATGAAAGGTCGTTCATCCTCCAAAGGGGTCACAACCCACAGGTTGAGAACCACTGTTGTAGACAGTCTTTAAAAAAACGTATACAGTGAAATTATTTCAACACAGCCTCTAAATGGGCCTTTCTCACATAACCGTTCATTGAGAAAACTCAAAATTGTTTAATTTTTTTTCCACAATAGATCCACCAAGTGTTTTCAGCATGCCTGAAGCAGACTTGAAAAGAATTTTTTGGGTACTCTCTCTTCCTATTATTACATTACTTTTTCTGACAACACCAGATTGCAGAAGAAAGTTTTGGAAAAATTACTTTGTGATAACCTTTTTCATGTCTGCACTATGGATATCTGCATTCACATACATCCTGGTTTGGATGGTCACAGTAACAGGTATGTATTTTAAGTATAATAGCACAACAAGAAAATTACTTCATGTAAGAAGAAACTGCAAATATTCATTTAAAGTAGTCTAGGGAGCACACATCTTTTCAGCAAGACTAAAACCTGGTGTTGTTTTACAAAAGATAAAAAGGTTAATATCACAACCTAACAAGTTCATTCGGGCTTTGTGAGCCTGAATACCAAGGGCATTTCCCATTATTACACAGTCTAGAGTATAATTCATGGGCTATCTTCATAATTACACAGGGTTTATAAGAACTCTTCATACTGAATTCTAGATTCACGGTGGAAAACAGAGAAAGAAACTGACTGGGTTTGGGGTAAGAGGTAGGTGCTTGCTGTTTAACTAGATGGTGTTTTCTTTTGTTTTACAATATGGCAATGGCAATACAATGCAGATGACTAAGTGACTAAGTCTTGTTTAAGGTTTCTAGTATCTATGCAAATAAGTTTTAATGCTTAGCCATATTTCTGCCCCCCCCATGAAATACTGATTATAAATAGAAAAGAAAATGAGGGTCTTTCTCTCAAAAAGATTAACCTGAACTAATTTACATTAGAAATGAACAATCCTGCCATGCCTAAATTACCCAATCTGTTTGTAGCACTGAAACTCACTGAGCACAGTTGAACCCAGTCATCTATTTATATGTATAGACTGCTGTTTTTACACTGGTGGGACTAAAGAATTACAACAGAAACCACAAAGCCTGCAAAGGTGAAATAATTACTACCTGGCCCCTTCTCCAAACTATCTGACCCTGACTTCTCCCAGATAACTTTATTATAACTGTATACCAACAAACAAAAACAGAATAGTTTTCTTTTTGTGAAATGATAAGAATGTCCAGGTAGCTTGCATATTCACTGTATCCAAGAATATTTGACAATAGGAAGAGAGGAGAATCAAAATATAAGATCACAGATGAGTAACTAAAATGAAAAACAACACTCTACTTACTCTAAACCATGTTTTCAATTACAATATTAAGAGAAAAGTACCTGTCCCCACCCTTTAAATATGCCCTCTGGTTTTATTTCTCAGAATGAACTGTTATCAGTTTCACACAAGTATTAAGAAATTGGGGATATGTTAAGACTCAGGCAGGAAAGGAGGTCCCTGTCTACCTCAGAGATCCCTGAAACAAAACAAACAAAAAACCCCAGTAAACGAACTAGTACTTTCAAAGTCTTCACTTCAATCTAATAATGGATAAAAAGAGTGGTAAGATACTTAACTCTCAACTACTTTAAGAAACTTCAAGCAAAGAGAAAATAAGTAAAAGATCAGTTTCACTATACAGCAAGAAACAGTGACACCCATAGCTTCCCCCAGATACCAAATATGAGGATTTCTCATTGGAAGAATTTTGGTTGCTTAGTATCTTCTGATATCTGTCATTAAAAATGTATGCTGCTCTGGTTACCCAAACTATCAACCTGTTTCAATACTTTGCCATCTAGAAGCCACACAAACATATATTGGGTCAAAATCTAAACATACCTAAATAATTTTTCCTGAATAGGGACGCATTCAAGCTGTCTTCAAAAACTGGTTCATTTAAGATTTATGATTTGTAACCTGTAGTCTCTCTGCCTATTACAGGGGAAATACTAGGAATCCCAGACACAGTAATGGGCCTTACTTTATTGGCAGCAGGTACAAGCATACCAGACACAGTCGCAAGTGTGTTAGTTGCAAGAAAAGGTAAGACTGGAGGACTCCCAGATGCACTGGCTGGGCCTTCAAGTTTGATTACCATAAGGCAAGTGAAAGTAAATAACACTTCCTCAGTAGCATACTTTGAAGAAAAAAGAAGTGACTCGCGGGAAGCATTTAGTTTTTAATAGCAGGTTAATTCCACCGACCCAGTCCCCCAAAGACTGCTTACCTAAAATGTGCATTAGATGGTAATTCACTGTCAAATGAGAATGAAAAGCAACAAATAAGCTGCATACCTTATTAAAAATGGTTTAATAAATAAAGGTAATTATTAAATAAATGTTAAGACTTTAAATACTAACTAAAGGAAATACAAATTCAGGAAGAGTCTTGCTCTAACAATAACAGTTTTCTAAAACTAACCAACAAAAAGTATCCAGTGTTTTTCTTATGAAGATTATTAATAAAATATAGTATCGGTGTGCACATTTTAACAACATGCTGTTCTTTTGCAGGTAAAGGAGACATGGCTATATCTAACATCGTGGGATCCAATGTGTTTGATATGCTATGCCTAGGTCTTCCCTGGTTTATTAAGACTGCATTTACAAATGCATCTGCTCCTGTAGAAGTGAATAGCAAGGGACTCACTTATGTAACCATCTCTCTCAACATTTCAATTATTTTTTTGTTCTTAGCAGTTCATTTTAATGGCTGGAAACTAGACCGAAAGTTGGGGGTGGTCTGCCTAATGTTATACTTAGGACTTGCTACCTTATCAGTTCTAAATGAACTTGGAATTATTGGAAGTAACAGAATAAGGGGCTGTGGAGTTTGATATTTTTAATAGTGTTATGTGGGAAAGGTGAAACTGGTAGAGGGGCAAAAAAAAAAAAAAAGAAAGAAAGAAAAGAAAAAACAAAAACCCCATGTCTTCATTTAGGTCAAATAAAAAACACCCTTGACTTTATAGTGTAACCTTTAACTACTATTCTTTATAGGCAGAGAAAAGTGATTCACACCAAACCAAAACCACATCCTAATTTGTCTGAGCCCTTTCTTTTCATTAACAACTAGATATAGAGCAGAGACTGGGGGTGGGGGTGAGGGTATCCTGATAACTTACAATAAGACTGGGAAAATTAGAACAAACAAACCCTACTACTGGGAACAATTAAATGGCTTATTTGATTAAAAATGGTGTGTCCATCCATTGAAACTGAATGACCAGACTTGTTGACTTTAGAAACGCAAACTTGAGATAACGAAAATCACAGTATATTTTTCAACATTATACTGTTAAAAGCTGGTGGGAGTTTTAAAAGTTCATTTTTACAGCATTTGTAAGCATACAACATTACTAAAAAATGACTTTTACTAGGAGATTCAATAAACAGATGAAGGAATGTTCCAACCATGCTTGAAATTATGCGTTACGATCCAAGCGAACATCGATTTCCCTGCCACTGATTTTGATGCCGTTCATTATTCTGCAGGCCTTTTCTGCTGACTCTGGGGATTCAAACCTAACTGTCCCACAGCCTTTTGACTTGCCATTCTCCATCTTTATTTCTGCAAACATTACATGACCTGTAAAACGAGAGTTACACAATTACTAGTCCATTTAAATGGATTCCAGTTCACTAGACAAGTTTTGAACTCCTCATAGCAATGGAGATCACAGGTAATTTGGTTAAACATATTAATAATGTAAAATATATATACGAGAATTATCAATTTATACTCTGAATACAATTCCTATATAATGACTATGAATACATATATATTACATAAAATTGGATTGGACACTGAGTTTGATTTTAAATCCCCAATTTCTGAAGTGGATGTTACAACAATAAAGCTAGGTAGCACAAATACTACGAACTCACTATGGCCCCTAACAAGATGACACTTTTAATCAAAATTATATAGTTGCTCACTGTTCAAACTCCTGAATCTTCTTCCTTCTCTTTTATCTTCATTTCACTCTTATCTTTACAAGAGCAAATATTCATAAATCTAAGTTCCACCATCAATTCTACTTTTTATTCAGTATCACAATTTGCATTGAAATCTTAAAGATGGCATCAAATAAGAAAATGGTTATAAAAGTCAGCAGATTTAAAACAGTAAAGCTAAAAATGATGTTCTAGAAAGGACAACAAAACCAGACAACTGTTTTTATACAATTAACATCACTGTTAACTCTAGAATAAATCTATAGTTACTGTATCATCAGTAACACTGAAATACAAAGTGTAGCCTGAAAACCTATCAGTGAAAGCAGAGTACTTCTAAGAGTAAAGAAAGAGGAGTGAGTGATAAGCACATGTAAGCAAAGACAGAGCAGTAAAACCACAGCTCAGGCCAACTGGGATGCATATGACCAATCCAAACAGACTGTAACTTAAGGGCACCACTATTTATGTAATACTTCCCCCTCCCAGGATGTACCTGTTACCAAATCATGCTAGACTTTGAATACTACAGCAGCTAGATTACTATGTGTTAATTTTAGTCTCTCAATCAAACCAGACAATCAGACACATTTAAGGCCAGAAGGGACAAAAAAGAAGAAAGAGAAAAGTAAAGGGCAAGGGTCTGTCAAGTGAAGACCGTTCCAGATGAAGAAAATGAGTATTATTCCGAATGAATAAGCTAGATTGCTTTCCTGTTAAGGGCATGAGCTGAGGGACTCTGATTTACATGATCCTAGGCTACTTCTGTGTTTCCATTCACTTCCTGTTATTGCATTTCCTTTCAAAGTCAACTGATAAGCAATCTTTTACCTTCTGAACACTAAATATGCAAAGACAATGTCAGACTGATTCAAAACCATGTCTTATAAAGCAAATCAGGAAATTCTTGAGTATACCCCTAAAAGTTGTAAAACATACTAATCCCAGAAAAATTGCATAATTAAAGTAGATTGAAATAATATTTAGCCCACAACTAATAAAACAGGAAAGAAAAATGGTAATCTTATTTTCTAGTGGAAAAACAAAACAAAACAAAAACCCCCCACAGAATGGTACTGAGAGATATATGCTAAAAGAAACATTAGTGGTTGTCTCAGTCAGGGTTACTATTGCTAACAATGAAACACAAGACCAAAAGAAAGTTGGAGAGAAAAGGGATTTATTTAGTTTGTATTTTCAAATCACTGATTTATAGTGATATTTTATTTATGATCTAACAAAGTCTGCCTGAAGATCAGAGTGCAAAGCTAGTCACACTAGTCAATCATATAAGTCAGGCCGTGGTGGTACACACCTTTAGTCCAAGCACTGAAGAGGAAGATAAGACAAGATGAGACAGGAAAATGTCCTCTCTCAGTCTGAAGATTTTGTAGAGGTAAAAGTGCTCTAGTGGTTGGCTGCTTTCTTTCTCTGATCTTTCAGCTTGAACCCCCATTTCTGTCTCTGGGTTTTTATTAGTCATGCTATGATGTGGGAGTGTCATATCAATCTGTTGATTTCATTGGCTGAGCAATAAAGAAACTGCTGGCCCTGATAGGTTAAAATATAGGTGGGCGGAATAAACGGAATAGAATTCTGGGCGGAAGAGGAAGTGAGGTCAGACTCTGCTCTGCTCCCGGAGACTCAACAACTCTGCTCTCTGGAGCAGAGACACCATGATGGACGGAGGCTAGAATCTTCCCGGTAAGCGCACCTTGGGGTGCTTACACACATCATTAGAAATGGGCTAGTCCAGGTGCGAGAATTAGCCTGTAAGGGTTAGAGTTCATGGGCCAAGCAGTTCTTAAATGAATACAGTTTGTGTGTTGTTATTTCGGGCATGAGCTAGCCAAGTGGCCGGGGTGTTGGGGACGCAGCCCCGCCGCTCTTTATTTCAACAATGCTACAAGTATTCATCATCAAAGTCAGGACAGGAACTGAAGCAGAGCAGGGACCTGGAGCTAAGAGCTTTGTGAAGGCCATGGAAGGGTGCTATTTACTGGCTTGCAGCTTGCTCAGCCTGCTTTCTTATAGAACCCAAAACCAGCAGCCCAGGGATAAAACGATACATAATGGGCTGGGCCCTCCCACATCAATTACTAATTAAGAAAGTGCCCTATATGGCTGCCTCCAGCCCACTCACTTTTCAACTGAGGCTCCTTTCTCTCAAATGATTCCAGCTTTTGTCAAGTTGACACAAAATTAGCCAGTACAGTACAGTACAGTGTGGTAAACACAGCAACTTCCAAAATCCACCAGCATATGCTAGCTTTACCTAAAAATTTAGATTTTTCTAAGTTCTACAGCATAGGGTGATAATCAACAATGGGTTTTACTTGAGCTAGATTCTTGAGAACAAGTTACTATCTCTTGGCATAACCATCTTTCCATATTTCAGACAAGATTTTCTTTCACGTTCCTCTTAAACTGGCGCAGCTCAGGAAGTCATCATTTAGGCATCCGAACTCCTCATCTCACAGTGGTTTCACCTTCCCTCTGACCTCTCAGCTAGGGTACCAGAACCTTCTCAGTTTGGAGACTTAGATTCTAGATTCAGCCTCTACACACCTGTTTCCACTGTTAGACTACCCCAAGAAGGAAAAGAATCCCAAGTTGCTGGCTGGCTTGGTTATTTCTAGAACCTGGGGGTTGAGACACATCAGGGCCATGCACACACCAGGCAAATGCTAAAATGCTGAGCCACGTGACAGTGTCAACTTCTGGACTAGTTTTAATTTTTTTTTTAACTTTTTGAGACAGTCTCACTGACATGCCCACCCAGGATGGTCTGTAATTTATTGAACAGCCCAAGCAGCCTTCCCAACTCAGCCACTCTGAGTGCTAAGACTACAGACATTCACGGCCACACTGAGGTGAGACTCTGCATTTTCTGACCCTATATAAACACAAATTAAAGTATTTTCTTTCTATAAAAAAAAATTTAGGAGGGAAAGTTTCAAATAATTAAACTTAATCTGCCTAACTTTTTTACATGCTGAAGAAGTCTTCAAATGGCCTACTGTTTAGCAAAATTTCAAGGAAAAACAAAACCAACCAGACCAGCATTTTATCAGTTGTATAGGACTAAGCTCTGCCATAAGGAGATCAGACACACTGTGGTCATAGAGCAGGTGTGAGAACTACTTAGCACACAATGAAAGAAAGCTTTCCACTTTATTTAGTCCAGGCTATTGCTTTTGGAAATGGTATATATTTGGGGAAATGCTGGCATAGACCATAACTAAAAATAAGCCAAATTAATACATTCATAAATAATTAACAAAATCTGTCAAAATAAAATTATGACATTGCTATCTGGAATGTTGCCTTTGGGGTTTATATTAGTAAGACACCTGCCACTGAGTTATTTCCTGGCGGATGTTGTGTCTAGAGTACCACTAGATTCCTGCTAAGAAAGGGAAAACGTTTATTTAGCTAGCTTGGGCTCAGGAAAACAAAACACAGCAAATCAGCAATCAAACAAACCTGCTTTTATGGCTAAAGGTCAGTATTTGTTTGTCAGGTTAAAAGCACTATTAAAACAGAAAAACCCTAATACTTATAAATAATGTAAGATGGCAGGAAACAGATGGTTCAGTTCAAACATGTTAGACAGTACTCTGGCAATACTGGAGATTTAGTTCTGTATTACTATAAATTATTTTCTTTGCCATCAATGTAACTCCTATTAGAACATGGAATGATAAGGAGTTTTGTAAGCATGGCACTAAATATAAAATTGAAAAGCAGTTTTTAGACTAATTTGGAAGTAAAAGACCAAACTCATTAACCTTTTAACTATCAGATAATTCAAAAGGGAAAGAAGAGAGGGAAATAGGAGTCCTATATAAGTGAGCCACTATTTTAAATGCAGACTTGGATACTTTCTCTTCTTACAAAATGCCTTCCACTACTGTCAATGCTACCCCAGCCCTAGCTATTCAAAGTTACTCCTGCCTGACCTCAAGAGATTGCCTGCTTTCAGTACATGTACTTACTCTACACAAGCTACCAACACCCTTCCAAATAATGCACTATGCTGCTTTCTCTCAGTAGTGAACAACAGCCAAGTCACTTGTATTTAACAAGGTTTTTGTAAGAACTGTCTCTTCTTCGAATTTTAAGCTAATGTAAAAGGGTCATCAACAGAACATCCTAGACAGATTCATAGTGCAAGTTCTTTAAAAACTTCAGTATCTGATTTTGTTCATCTCCAGAGGTCTAGCAGACTGCTAAAACACCAGTGATCCTAGATTCAATGAGTAAATGAGTGACTCAATGAAGATTTAATCAGAGTGCTTATGAACATTTTATAACTCTTCTATCTGTACAGAAATAAAAAGTGCTAGCTTAAATAGGTGAGAATTTCCCCTAAAGAGCCTCATCCAGGGTGAAAGAAAATTAGTAGATCATTATAAGAAAAGCTAACAGGAAATTAAATATAAAGAACTATATATAGCAACAGTATTCTTGACAGTAGTCCACAGACTTTTTCCTTTTCTTTTCTTTTTTCTTTCTTTGCCTCCAGTATTAGGAACTGCCTCAAGACTCGTGCATGATAGGCAAGCATCCTACCACTGAGCAACATCCAGTCTCTCTTGGTTTTTTTACCTAATTTTTTTATTCTGAGTAAATTTTTGTTGTTGTTTTATCTATTGAAGAGATTCTTCTCTCATTCAATACATCCCAATCAGAGTGTCTCAATTCCTCAACCTTCCCTCCACCTCCTTTCTCTCTTCCACATCCACTCCTCCTCCACTTCCTCTTCAGAAAACAGCAGGCCTCCAAGAGACAAAAACCAAACAGGACAAAACAAGACACCAATAAGGCAAGGCAGGGGAAAAGCCCTTATATAAGGGCTGGACAAGGCAACCCAACAGCAGGCAAACAGTCAGGGATATAACCGCTTCCACTGTTATGAGTCCTACAAAAACCCTGACCAAACAACCATAACATACATGCAGAGACCTGATGCAGACCCATGCATGCCCCAGGTCTGCTGTTTCAGTCTCTGGGAGTCCACATGAGCCCTGCTTAGTTGATTCCATGGGCCATGTTTTCCTGATGTCCTCCATTCCCTCATGGTGTTTTGTTTTTTTTATGAGACAATCTCAATAAACTGTCCAAGCTGACTTTGAATTGACTCTGTAGCCCAGGCACATCTTGAACCTGTGGCATCCTGTCTTAGCCTCCCAAGTAGCTGAAATTACAGGCTGTACCACCAGGCTCAATTAGAAAGGTTGCTTTTGTGGAAGAACACTAAACTTGTTTTGGTTTTGTTTTTGTATTTTTGTGCCTTAAAATACTAAAGATGCTGGCATGGTGGCATAGGCCTTTAATATCAGAACTCTGGAGAAGAGGCAGGCGAATAGATCTTAGTTTTCTGTTAACTGAAGAGGTGAAATGCACTACTTTCAATGTAACATACTGCATGAGTATCTTACTGTGATTTTAGTCGGGGTTTCTATATAATAGAAAGAAAACTGTGGCTCTGGGTGAGTCACACAATTACCCCATATCACATTATTACTCCATTACCATACACCGGGAGAGGGAGCGGAGGGAGGACAGGGAACACTTTACCTATGAGTATAGCACAGAAAAAGCTTTATTTGAAAGTAATAAACCAGCCAATAACAGACAGGCCTAATGAATAACTAAGGTCTGTAGCTAGTCTCCTTATAGCCAAAAAGAGTTTCCAAAGGACTAGAAGAGCCACCAAAATCTATCTGTGTCTAGCTGGGTTCTATGCTTCTTACTACCTTAAGGTTCCTGTTATACAGGCAATGTAGTGTACAGAATAGATTGTCCCGTCAACTATGCATCAGGAAGGAAGTAAACATGCCTTTTACTAAGTTTCTCATGAGAAAAAAAAATATTCTAATGGAAAAACATATCAACCTCTTTAAAATAGGGTAATAAAGAAAACTTCTTTACAACAGGTAATGATCCTGCCAAGTCTGCACTAAGCCCTGTTGTTTGTTCCAAGTCACCAGACAGCAAAACTTTACTTATCTAAAGTTGAGTCAGACAAAAATACAACTAGGATAAGCCAAAATCTAATCACGGTGTTTTAAAGTTTAGGATTCAAAAATGTCCCACCGCCAAAATATCAGCATAATCTGTAGCTACTTGTATACTTACCACACTGGCTGAATTTCTCTTTTAGTTTCTGCCAAGTCAAGTCAAAAGGCAGCTGAAATGAAAAGAGAAATTAGTAACATAT